GTTACATTTACCTGTGAAAATTGTTTCTTAATGTACTTTTCTATTTCGTGTAATAAGGCTTGGTGATGTATGTCATAGTATCTGGAAATTTTACCTCCCATACTAACTAGCTGTATTACCTTGGCTAGCAATTACTGAAACTTGTACCTAAGTTTCCTTATTTGCAAACTGGTTCATTTTGGAGGTACTGTTATAAGGTAGCGGATATTTAATATGTGATAAATAGTAAGTATTCACTAAATGTAAGTTGAAATAGTCATGATGATATAATTAAAATCTCCCCCCATTCTACTTTTCATCTCTCCCATTCCAAACAATGACAAAACAGTTGTAAAAGTAGTAGCCAAAGCAACTATTTAGGCAAGTGGGTGAATGCTTTTAGAACAGGGTAAGTAAAAGGTTTTATCATCTCTTTTTTTCTTTCTGCTTATCCATTTTGCACGTTTCTTCCTGGTTTTCCTTCCTTAATTGCTGTTTCAGCTCCATTAATGTTTCTTTGTAATAATTTTCTTTACCTTGTTGCTTACCTAGATCGTGTGAATTATCTAAGGTGAATTATCTAACGTATTCAAAACTCTGCTTCTAGTTTATGAACTTGCTTCAGAGAATTCGTGGAAGATTTGTTGTACCCAAGTAAGCTGTTCCTTTTAATAGTTATGTTATTTATTTGGAAAGTAGGATGATGGAAAGAGATTTTCCATTCACTGGTTCACTGACCAAATAGGTACAGTGGGGTGTGACATGGGGTCAGATATTTTAAGTGATTTGTTCCAGAAGTAAAGATGACTGATAGAATTAGGCAGAGATAATAGTTTGTGATAAGCAAGCAATATAAAAAGTTAGAAAGGTAATTGATCCAGGAGGATTATCCTATTTTCAAAAGAATGCATTGAATTTCAGTGTCATAAGGTAAAAAAATACTACTGAGAAAAGGATTTATAAGCATTCAGCCTTGTATAATTGATTCATGCAGTTATAAAAATGAGTTTTTATTTTTTTAAAAATTTATTTTATTGGAAAGGCAGATGCACAGAGAGGAGGAGAGACAGAGAGGAAGATCTTCCGTCTGATGAATCACTCCCCAAGTGAGTGCAGTGGCCGGTGCTGCTCGGATCTGAAGCCAGGATCCAGGAACTTCTTTCCGGGTGTCACATGTGGGTGCAGGGTCCCAAGGCTTTGGGCTGTCTTCAACTGCTTTCCCAGGCCACAAGCAGAGAACTGGATGGGAAATGGAGCTGTTAGGATTAGAACCGGTGCCCATATGAGATCTTGGTGTGTTCAAGGCGAGGACAGGACCTTAACCATCATGCTATCGTGCTGGGCCCTAAAAATGAATTATTTTTAATATACAGGAATGTTCAATGGATATGTAGTGTTTTGGTTTTTCTCCATTTCAATTTCAGACTGTTTGCTTTAATTGTGAACATAGTAACAATAAATGTGACTAGTTTACCAAGGAAATCTTTATTAGAATGTTAGACATTTTAAAAAAGATTTATTTACTTATTCTGAAAGGTAAAGTTACAGAGAGGGAGAAACAGAGATCTTCTGTCTTCTGGTTCCCTCCCCAAATTTCTGCAGTGGCCAGTCTAAATCGGGAGCCAGGAGCGCCCTCCACATCTCTCATTTGGGTGGCAGTGTCCCTATCAAGGACATGAACCTGCCTCCCATATGGAATGCCAATGGTGCAATTGTTGACCTTACCTGCTATACCATGCATGCCCGTTTTTTGACCAATTTCTAACAAAAATGTTAACTCTTATTTATGTCAGTTTTGGAAAGAGCCTTATATTCAGGAATCAGTGATTATAACGGGCATGAAAGAACATAATTACTTATATCTGACACATTGTTTTGTAATTTAATGTATTCAGATTTGACATTTGCTTGTATTACGATATTGTACACACTGTAAAGTGATATTTAGTTCTAATTAATCTAATGAATGCATCATGTTAAATACTGACTGGCTACCAGTTGGAGAATATGCTTTATGTAGATACTCTTTGCAGTTCTGAACACTGGACTAGGTATCTATTAACTGGGTTTTTTACAGAAAATGGGCAGTGAGTTCTCTAGATCACAGTAAATAGAGACGGTATGTGACCTGTTTTGAAAGTAGATCCTCACATGTTCTGTGCTCCCTTAAAGCCAGAAGCCCACCCAACCGACTCAGGCACTTTGGATTTAGGAAATCTGCCGTAGGACCAGAATTGTGGCAGATCACTAATATCGAGAACCACGTTGCTGCAAAATTCCTTTCTTTTTGTTCTCTCATGATTACATGTCACCCATCTCCATTTAAAAAAATTTGATTCTAGACATTTTGCTATAATGGAAAAATAGTTCACGATGAAATTTTTTCCTTAATCCGGCGGCTTTTGTGGGCAAGATAGAACTGTGTATATTGCCCCACTCGACCAAAAAAAAAAAAAACCCAAACATTGAAACGAAGTAATTTTTCTGAGTCATCAGTAAAATATTAATAATTGCCTATTCTAAATTAGGTGCAATTTTGCATTAAGGCACTTTGGCCAAAATTCAGTAGATATCAATTAAGTGGTTGCTATTATGAAGACATATTATTATCTACAAATTAAATGACTAAATTGTTAAATATAAAAACTACCTTTTTATTTCATAAAATTGTGTCATGAAGGTCATCAAAATTTTCTTGACCTCCATGTAATTTCTTTCCGAGATATATAAGCACTTTTTTATTCTCCATTATTAAAATGTTAACATAGTGAATTTTACTTTCAAGATCTTCCTAGAATGCTTAATCAGCTGTTATTCTTTGTTTATCAAAAATCAAATTTGTATATTCCTGAATCTGTTTGCGCTTATTATACTTGATATTCTAATACAATAATTTATCTTCATATTAATTTTGATATGATATGATGCAAAAAAGAAGTATTTTTAAAAAATGAAAATCTAAGATAGATAGTTGGGAAGATTTCCTGAAGGTCAGTCTCTTAAAATCTCCTGTAAGATTAAGTGTGCATGAGATAAAGCTGTGCAAGATGAGAAAACATAGCATTTTATATACATAATACATTGCCACAATCTTTAAAGTCCTATTTAAAAATTAATCTGGATAGCTGTAGCCATATTTCATTAAGGAAAAGCAGCCCTATACTTCAGTGATAGACTCATAATCAAAGAAAATATCTTAGGATAATATCCAGGAATTAGCAAATGATCTCTTTTGTTTTAAAAATCATATGTAAACCAGGTGTGATGTTTTGGATTCTCTACAGTAACTCAGACTTTAAAATTTAAAATAAGATGCTCAAGTGGCAAGATGAGAAAAATTTTAGTGACTTCATTCATGCAAGATGAAAACTACAAAATATGCTAATTGGTGCTAGATTAAAAAAGATTGTACTACTTAATAATTCTGTGCTTAACGAGTAGGGTACTATGTGCTAAGCCTACATAATTAATTTACTGGCTTATAAAATAAAACTTACCTGCTAGTGTAAAAATGACAAAAGAAATTCCATGAAAATACATTTCATTCTAGAAATCCAAAGAAAACGACATAGAAAATGGAAACTTAGAGCACAGTTGTTTTTGCGTTGAGAACAACGAGAAGGGGCACACCTGTTAAGACACCGCGCCTCATGCTGGAGTGCACGTGTGAATCCTATAAGCCTTTGGGCTTTTGATTGTTCGGTTTTGTTCTTATTCAGATTCTATCAATGCTATTTTCTAGTTATCTGATTTGGGGAAAGTAATTTTTCAGTTCTTAAGTTTCCCCATCTGCTTAAATAGAGTCTAAGAGAACCTATTATGTTGTCTGTATCCCAAGTTGGAGTGCCTGCTTCTGTTTTTCACCCAGCTTCCTGCTGAAGTGTGCTCTGGGGGGCGGCAAGTGATGGCTCATGACAGACTTAGGTTTTGGGCTTGTGGCTGCCATTTGGGCTTGGCTGTAACCGGAATTTAAGGAGCGAATGAGTGGATGGAAAATCTGTGTGTTTGGGTGTGTGTGTATGTTTGTCTGCTTTTCAAATAAAAATGAGAAATATCGGGGGTCCTCCCGTCCCGCGGAAGAAATCACCCGACACTTGAGAGAGTCTCCAAGGCGCTTTTATTCTGCTCCTCCGTCCCCTCGTGACCCTTGTCCGTTGACCGTTATCACCGTTATATCTGTTACGCTCCAGCCCCTCCCCCGCCAAGCCCCCCGCTTAACTGTCAAACTTGACCAATCAACTTAAAGAGAACCAAGGCACACCAATCAGGGCAAAGGGCCAATCACAGGGCAGGAAATGGTCAGTGCCCCCAACAGAGAAACACTTAAAGACCTAGAGAAAATGAACTGAATTAAAAAAACCAAGCAAGGAATAATAACACATGAAAAATGCATTATGGAGGATTATCTTAGTCTATATAACATGTTTGCAATAGTACTTGGAACAAAATATTATATTAACAGGAAGGGAACAATTTGGGTCAGAATAAAGTATTTTAGTATCATTATACTGTTTTTATGTATTTATTTTTTATTAAGTTTTTTGCCTGAGTAACAGTTTTCTTATTTTTTCCCCTTTTTTATTATCATTTTATGATACAGTTCCATAGATTGTGGGATTTTCCTTATCCCTCCCCTCTCCCCACTGAGTTCCCCTATATTATTACTATAGCATAATTCTTCATACGCAGTCATATATCCATCATTGCGGGCATGGGCAATGACAGAGAGTCCAGCATCCTGTTGTCAAGATATCGCAAACAATGTCATTGGGAGTCCATCTTTGGAAGTAGAGATGCATACTGCATTGTAAGACTGTAATCCCTGATGCTTGAGATATTCACCAGAAACTGTCTAGACTAATGTGTAATAAATCTAACTCTTAATTTTCATCTCAGTGAATAGTTATAGTGATTACAAGGCAAGGTCTCTGAAATAGTATTAACCTGTTAAATAATCAGCGGATTTCTGAAGGAAAAGAATTGCATATGTATTACAAACTCCTTAATGGAATTCATGACAGTTTTGGTCGTCCAGGAGTAGAATGTTATTGCCAGCATGACAGTGGGGCTGCAGTAATCCAACTCCAGTTCCTGATTAATGAGGTGAGTGAGTGGTTTTCCTCTCTCCTGTTGATTTCTGGATTCTTGTATTTATTTATGTTTAAATATTTGAACAAAAAGTTAATTTCTTGCGATGTAGAGTAAATACATTTTAAGGTATCATTATGGAATACCGGATGGTCATATAAATAATGTATAGTGTTGCAGATGTTATGGTATAATTATTTTTGAAACAAGGTGCTGCATTTATGATTTATTTCAGAGATATTGAAATTATGCCATGAGCAAAATATCCGTATTAAAGTTTGAGCTTATCACAAATTTACTGAGTTGCTTTGAAATACATCCAGAGAGCCAACATAATTGTTTTAATATATGAATAATGTTAACAAAATCATCCTGAGCTTTAGAACATCACAAAACTCATATTTTAAAATCCACCCTATCAAAACCACAAAATTAGTACATTTCCTTATATCTAAATATTTTACAAATGTAGCGAAAAAGGAAAAATGAAAAACAAAAAACCACATCGGCTTGGTTAAGGCTAAAGTTACCCAAGCAGCCAAAAATAAAATATCCACATTATTAGCATTAATTTAATATAGTTAATAACTTCAGTAATCAGTTTATCAGTGGCAGGGGTGAACGCCCCAGACTACTGCCTCTGCCCTGCCAGCTGCCACCTGTGCATCACGCGGGGGTGTGTGCGCACGTACGTGTATTGTACAAGTCTCCCTCCACACAGACCTGATAATTAAATGGATAATGGGGAAGAACAACGAAAGCTAAACAAATGAATCGTTTCCCCTTTGGGTTATGATCATTGCCCTTGTGAATGAAGCATTCAACAAGAACATAAGGAAAGCAAAAGAGCAGTTTCTCTGGTGCACTGCTTCAACACCCAGGCCAAGTTTGCTGGGATAGCTGTATCTGTCTGTGAGTAGGCATCCTTGGCTGATGCTTCCCTGATCCTGCTGTGTGGAGTCCTCGAGCCTGCTTACCTCTGCTTCTCTAAGCCAAGGGCAGTGCAGGCAGCAACCTGGGCTCCGTGGGGAGCCGCTTTTCCTGAAGCTGTTTCATCTCAGCTGCTCTGTCTTCATGTGCAACTCTTTGAGCTCAAGAAGGAAGGAAAGGCAGTTGTCATCATTTTCGGAATATTCCTGCCATCCCTTACTTTCAGTAACCTGTGCTCTGCTTCCGGAGTGTGGGAGGACCTCCCTTTCACTGCGGGGAGAGCGAGACTGTCCATGACAGTCCCGTTTCATTTTCCTTTGCTTCAACTGTACTGTTCTCCAACTCCTCGGGCTTGTCAGAGGCTCTCTTCTCCATTTAGGTCATTTTCAGGGTCTTCAGGAACTCACTCCTCCTGTCCATGATTTGGCAGGTCAACTTGGTCAGATGAGAGGAGTGTTTGATACTGTAGTTGAAATTCGAAATTAATGGTTCAAATCTTGCTCCCCTGAATCCTTTCAGTTTCTTGATTCTTAAGTGGTAGAGATAAAAGGGTGTTTTCTGATGGAAGAGAGTGTATGGGCTATATAAACTTCTTGCTTTTACGCTATAGTGTTGTAGCAATGAGAGCTATTCACTACAGTAGTCCTAAAATTTTCAATGTGGAAATGACTTGGAGAGACTATTAGTGTTAATTTTACCTTGAAAGCAGGTTTTTTTTTTTTTTAAGATTTATTTATTTTTATTGGAAAGGCGTACACAAAGAGAGAAGAGGCAGATGGTTCACTCCCCAAGCAGCCGCAACGGCCGGAGCTGAGTCAGTCCGAAGCCAGGAGCCAGGAGCTTCTTCCAGGCCACAGGCAGGGAAGTGGGGCTGCTGGGATCAGTGCCCATATGGGATCCTGGCGCTTTTAAGGCGGGAACTGCAACCGCTATGCTATCGCACTGGGCTCGATAGCAGTTTTAATCCCCATTGCTACATAAGAAACCAGTGATTTTATTATGTTTTTTTTTTTTTTTTATTGGAAAGGCAGATATACAGAGAGGAGGAGAGACAGAGAAGAAGATCTTCCATCCGGTGATTCACTCCCCAAGTGAGCGCAAGGGGCCAGTACTATGTCGATCCGAAGCCAGGAGCCTCTTCCGGGTCTCCCACGCGGGTGCAGGGTCCCAAAGCTTTGGGCTGTCCTCAACTGCTTTCCCAGGCCACAGGCAGGGAGCTGGAAGGGAAGCAGGGCTGCCGGGATTAGAACCGGCGCCCATATGGGATCCCGGGCGTGCTAGGTGAGGACCTTAACCACTTGCGCCACCGCGCCGGGCCCGAAACCAGTGATTTTAAATCAGTAATTTAAAGGATTGCAATTTCAAATATTTTTAAATTTGGTATCGATTTTGGTGTTTTATTCTTGTGTTACTCTTCTTAATATTAATGAAAGGTACCTGACTCCTCTGAGGAAAAGCATAAAGGTGATTCAATAAACCAGTCATCACCCTAGAGACTTTTTAAAATCTTATTCACACATCACAATCATTGTGGAGAGCTTTTAAAATACACTTGTAAGGATCCTTGCTCTTGAAATCCTGATTTGTTGTATTGAGGTGGCAGCGAACCACCTGGATGATTCTCAAATACTGCCAGGTATATCTTTCCCCATAAATAATATTTAAAAGCATCTGATGTTTTCACTTTCTAGTTTAGTCAGATTTTCAACTGTTCAGACATTGGACAGTTGTGCCAAGTGCTGTAAATATATTTTTATAGAATTATAATCTGGTTCTAGTACATTCATAAGAATTTGGTTTATGTCAAGTGAAATGAGATTATTTTTATATACTATCTACTAGAGAAGTATGTACAGTAGTAACCGAATAACTTAGAGTCTGACCTGTTTTTTTTTTTTTAAGATTTTTTATTTGAAAGGTGGATTTACAAAGAGAAGGAGAGATGGAGAAAGAGATTTTCCATCCATATTTCACTCCTCCAATGGCTGCAACAGCCAGAGTTGAGCCAGTCTGAAGCCAGAAACTGGGAGCTTCTTCTGGGTCTCCCATGCGGGTGCAGGGTACAGCTTTCCCAGGCCACAAGCAGGAAGCTGGATGGGAAGTGGAACAGTCCAGGCTAAACCTGCACCTGTTTGGGATGCTGGCACTGAAAGTAGAGGGCTGGCCTCTGGAGCCATCACGCCAGCCCCGACCTAATTTTAAATAATTGTCAACTGCCATGTTCTGCTATATCCTAGTATGCCTTTCACTTATAAGATACTGAAGTATACTTTAAATCATCGACTGTCATAAGATGTATATTAATTTGTATGGAGCTGTATATATAAACGAACTCTTTAGCATTTGCTATTAAGAATTTGAGTGGGTTAAATGCTTCTTAGATATTTAATGGCAGAAAGTTTTGAAATTTGGAACAAATTTTTTTGGCAGCTTTTCAGCAGTCTCATTGCTTGTGAAATATGTGTATGTAAAATGTGCTTTATTTTGAAGGGAGCTCTTGTGAGTGCCCTGGCTGATGACACCTTACATTTGTGGAATTTGCGACAGAAGAGGCCTGCCATACTGCATTCACTGAAGTTTTGCAGAGAAAGGTAAGGTTCGCTCCGTATTTATTATATTGAAGGCATTTGCTACTCTGCTGTGTTATACCTGCTTTTAATTTTATTCTTTGATTTTGTGTACACATGCACTAAGAAGTAATTTGAACACCTCAAAGAAGATAGAATGAAAGCAAGATTCCTTCCTTCCTAAGCCCAGCTTCCTTTCCTGAGGCAGCATGGAAGCTGTAAGCAGTCTGTATATAAGCAAAAAATACTGCAGGTAGCTTTATCCCTCTAGGTTTTTTTTTTTTAAAGTGAAATGGAAATCATGTAATATTTTCCAGTAAGTTGTTTTTATTTAACAATAGCTGCTAGGTATGTCTCATGTCTGCACATTTAAATCATCCTGGGTTGTTTTTAGAGCTTTGTAGTGTTGCATTGCATGCAAGTGTTATGGCTGATTTAGTTAACTTCATCAGTGGACATTGGTGTGATTTCTCGTCTGCTGTTTAATTTGCTCCCTTGTGACACTGTGAAACCTATTCCTCTTTCTACACAGATGAGGGATCATTAATATGTTTATGGGAAATTCAAATTATGGAAAATCTGCCTGAATTAAAGAAAATTTTGCACCACAGTGAACTTTTTCCACGAACTTTTTGAACTACTCACCTATGAGATGAATTTGTAGAATACATGGACCAAAAAAAAAAAAATCCATCTATTATAGCTTGTAAATTTTTGGCTTCGATTGGAAAGACCTGTTTTCACTCCCATTTGTTTTAAGTATTTTGATATTTGAAGGCAAGAGAGAGAGAGAGACAGAGAAATGTACTATCCAGTGCTTCACTCCCCAGTGACGGTAACATGAGAGTGAGCCAGGCTGAAGCCCGGAAACTATTCAGGTCTCCCTAATGCACAGGAGACCAAGGCTTTGGGTCGTTCTCTGCTGCTTTCCCAGATGTGTTATCAAGGAGCTGGATTCGAAGGGAAGCAGCTCTGTCTTGAACTGGTGCCCGCATGGCACCAGTATCCATACTGACACTGTGCCAGTGTCGTTGGGGCCACGTAACCTGGTATGCCACAATACCTATCTATTACCTGGACTATTGTGCTTCAGCAGGAAGCTGAAGTCAGGAACTGGTGTCAGATAGCATACTTGGTTATTCTGATATGGGATGTGGAGGCACTGTACTGTGGCATTTGGGGATTTTAACTGGCATCTTAATTACTAGGTTGAATGACTGTCCAGCACAGTGTCTTTCAGTGTGTGGATTCATGGTTGGTTGTTTTTTTTTCTAAATCACTAACATGCCATTGTGTGGGTGTACTAGAGTTTGTTTCTCCTCTTCATTTATTGATTAAATCCCAAAGATATTCCATGTGCAGCTTTTGTTGATGTACATCTAACACAATTGGATAACTGGGAATGCTATAGCTATATCATATGCTAAGACCATGTTTTGCTTTGTAAGTGACACACTGTCATCCTTGCTGCTGGACCAGTTTGTCTTCCTATCAGTGAGCAATCCTATTGTTAACATATTGTGTTGTTAGTGTGTTGGACATTACCCGTTTTGTATATGTTTTGTTGCAAATGTTTCCTCCTAATCTGTGAATTTTTGTTATTTTAACAATATAATCTGAAGAACAGAAATTTTGGGGTTTTGTTGTTGTTATTTTGTCTTTTTTAGATTTATTTTGATTTGAAAGGCAGATTTTATAGTCAAAGAGAGACAGAGGCCTTGCATCTGCTGGTTCATTCCCCGAATGACCAGAAGAGCTGGAGCTGAGCCCAGCTGAAGCCAGGAGTTAGAACCTTCTTCTTCTTAATCAACCAGGTGGACGCAGGGGCCTTAGGTCTTGAGCTGCCCTCCACTGCTCTCCCAGGCAATATGCAGGGAGCTCGATCAGTGAGTGGGGCAGTCTGGACTAGAACCAACACCTACATTGGATGCTGGCACCAGCAGATGGAGGATTGGTCTGATAGGCTACTCCCTGCTGGTGTTTCTTAGTATGTTCTCAGCTTTTCCTTCAGGGATGATACCTTTTTGTATCTAACATGTCCCTGGCATGTTAAGAAGCTACCTGGCATGTTCACATCCCCTATCCCACTGGCTGGGTTCTTGGCCCCGCTGATTTCAGTTCTAGCTTTTTATAAAAGCACAGCTTAGGAAGCAGTGGTTGTCATTCAAGTAATTAGATCTCAAGCTATTATGTGCGATTGACTTTTGAGCTCTTGTCTTCAGACTGGCCCAGTCCTGGCTATTTGGAGAGTGAACCAAAAGATAGGAAAGCCCTCTCTTTTCTTCTCTGTCATTCTCTCCCCCACCCCTCTCTGCTTTTATAATAAATAATTAGTTTTATTTAAATAAAAAGGATAATTTATCACCTAACTCAGAGTCATACCTAGATTTCAAACTGTTGTTATAGAAACTTCATAGTTTTACACATTGTTTAGCTGTATTGTCTGTGTTGATTTAATTTTTGTGAAAGGTTCAAGTTCTATATCTAGATTACTGTAATTTCTTTGTGTATGAATTACAGTCCATAAATAGCATTGACTGCCTAAAGATCATGTATTTGTAGGCTGTTTCCAGATTGTTTTTAATCCATTTGGTCTTATTTGTATCTTAACACATACCAGTTTCATGCTAAATCTTGAGTAAGCTAGCATTGAGCTTCCAGCCTTGTCTTTATTCAGTTTTGTGTTTGCTATTCAGTCTTTTGCCTTTCCAGATAAACTTTAGAATCACCATGTTGAAGTACACAAAAAAAGCATGCTGGCAGTTTGACCTTTTGAAAAGAATCTATCTGCCTCATTGATTTTAACACTTTTTTCTTTCTTAACATTATAATCTCCGAGCTTGAGATATTTCCCATAGTGAATGATGTCTTATAAAAATTGGAAATGTGTTTTGAATATTATTAAATAAGAATTATGTTGACTCTAAAGTCAACAGTATATTAGAGCTGGTGAAATGAAATGTTTGGGAATTTTAGAATCTTATGAAATGACAGTTTGTATTGTTGAAATGTTGATAGTGGTTTTTTTAGGATGTCCTTGGTAGGAATTTCCTTCAACACTTTGTTATTACTCCCCTGGTTTCTGCCTTGCTTTGGTTCCTTTAGAAATTGGTAGTTATTTCAATGTTTATTCCCGTCTTTCAGATGCATCCTATGTATCCGGCTAATTTCGCATTGATTTTCAGTGGTTTGAATGTGATGCATGTGCCCTATTTTTTCACATGTGTCTTGCTTGTGATTTACTGAACTTCTTCATTCTGTTGACTTACATTCTCCATAACATTTCAGAAGTTTTTAGCTGATAGGTCTTCAAAGCACTGTCCCCCCATTTATACTTTTTTTGGAGTATTGCTTACATGCATATTAAAGTTTTTAGTATTTTCCTGTGGGAAAATTTTGTTCCCTTATGTTCACTTCTTTTTCTGTTTTTCAGATTGGAGATTTCTGTTGACATATTCTTGGATTTAGTTATTCCTTCCACACATCTTCATATTTCTGTTAATCCTCTACAGTGAACATTATTTTCGATTTTGTTCTTTTCAGTTCCAGAATGTTTGATTTTTTTATGCTTCTTTTTTCTACTTATACTTCCTATTTGTTCATTTCTACAAGTTTTTCTTTGTTAATCATAGTTATAGGAAATACATTGTAAGTCTTAATTGCCAATAATTCTATCGTTGTGAATCCCTCTCTAGTCCAGGCACAGTCAGTTGTCCCCCGTTTATGATTAGATCCAATCTCTCTCTGCTGTAGCTACTGACGTTGGAATGACCTGGGACACTGTGAGTGTTAGGCATGCTCATTCTCAACCCTTTTATTTTCTCTTGGTGACTATTACATTTGTTTTGTTTTGTTTTGTGTTTGTCTGTGTTTTAAAGCTTAATTTAGTTTCCTTGGCTTTATGCTAATTATGAACTTTGACTTTTAGGAAGCAGTTCAGATTTCAGTTAGTGTCTCTACCTGGCCGTCTCAGAGCCTGCCGTGAGCATGCATGTTTTGCGTAGGTGTGGGTGGCGTTTGTACGCAGGGTTTGGAGCTCCCCTGTTTGGCTCCTTTCCTTCTGTTATTGCTCTCATTTTCCAGTGGCTGCTGTTGCTTCAGTTTCTGGTCCCTGGGTTTCCTATTGCAGATTTTGCTGCAAACTTGTACAGACCACGGCCTGTCCTTGTGTTAAAACCCTTGAACATGTTCTCCATACCTCTTTCTTTTTCTTAGAAGTGACTCCCCCCTGATTTTGCTAGTATTGCATTGATCTTCAGTGTCGTCAAATAGTTTCTGGCATTTTGCCAATAGTTTATAGTTGTTATGTAATAGTGGATTGACCCACTGGGACCTTTATTGTCTTTTACTGGAAGCAGATACTGTAATGGATTTTAAAGTGAATGTTATTATATACAGTAATATATGTATGTATCATTTAAAGAGGGTCAATAATGATTTAAAAATTGGCCCTGATATTTAAACATAATGATTTCTATTTAAACTTAGTAAACATGGTAATTTTCTACTACTCATTTAAAAATGTCATGTTTTTCATATATTTCTTTTTATTAGATCCATTTATTAGGGAAGTAGAACATGCACTATTTTTATTTGAAACTGGGAATTTGAAGAAAAATACCGAATTATTTGTTTAAGCTGCTCAGTGGAATTAGAATGAAGTCTGGAATTGTGATCTTGTGATTTGTAGTTGAGCTGATTTTCACTTTGTTACCTTGTAAATAACCTTGAAATCTTGAAAACCTTGTTGTCTTGTAAATTAATGTATATGTGATTACTGTCTTTGTTTGTTGTCACAGATTTTATGTAAAAATACATTTCCACGTCAGCCAATTTATTAAGTGAACCATGGGTGTTTATTAGCACTTGAAGTAATTGTCATGGATTCCTCTTGCTTGAATCTCATACAATTAAGAATTATCTAAGGTGTCACTACTGCCAAAAAAGAAATAAAAGAAAAAAAGAAAAAGAAAAAACACCTAGTCTATCTAGTCTAGACAGTATCAAAAAGCATTGGAGTTATT